GATGAAGGTGAAACGTCTTCAAGCAACTTAAAGAAGTCCAGACGCTTTTCTTTCCAAGCTCCTTAGTCTACGATGACCTGGATGAACCTTCACAGACGTTTCATATGACTGTATTATCTTTAACTTTTCCAGTGTTGGAATCATTCGTGGCCAGAAATAATTCCAGGTCTGGACTCTCTTCTCCTCATTGATGAAGTTGCTTCGTGGTAAAACGTTAGGAGCTTTCAGATGGCAGCCCTGACTCTGCTGAAGGTCTGAGCAGAGTCAGGCTCCTGTCTCAGCTCTTTGTCTTCAGATGTCCCGTGACCTGTTTCTCCTTCCTCCTCCAGGCTCCTCAGTCCTTCGCAGCAGGCAGCGATGACAGCTTCCGGCCCGGCAGCCTTTTCAGGCAGCTCGCTGATCAGGATGAAGACACAGCAGCGACTTCTTTATTCAAGCTTAACTGGCTCTCTGGGATGGGCAAATAATCAGCTGGCTGCTTTGTTACAGTGACATGTACAGTAAATACTCTTGTGTTGACAAAATGCCTCCTGTGTGATGTGTAAATGTTGTGTAAGCACTGACGTGTTGGCTGACTGCTGATCAGAGCAGCGATACTTTAGTTGAATGTGTGCATACAGCATCGTTCAGGTGGATGCTTCCTCTGTAGTGCTTTTCTACTCTGAACTCGCCTCCTTCACACTTTCTTTATGCTCCTTCTACCAAAGTGCTTTTAACACTCACTCATACTCTGATGGACGCATCAGCAGCTGAGGCTGTGGCTGGTTGGTGGGGTAGGCTGTCCTTTCCACTCTGGACTGAAACATGTTTAACACACTGTGGTTTGTGACATGCAGACTGATGCAGTCAGTTTCTGTCACAGGATGTCTGCACAGCTACATTTGTACGAGTGAGTCTGTGAACACGCTGACACGAAGCATCATCCCTGCAAACACTCTATCAGCTGACACAGTCTGTACTGGTTCTACACTTTCTCTGGGTGTTAATATGTCAGGTTGTATTTTATGTATTTATTCAGTTCAGATAGAGATGTGTGGCTGGCTGCCATGATGGCAGAAAGCAGGTTGACTTTCTTATTATTGCCTCAGAGTAATCACCAGTGTGTCACCAGCAGAGATGGGCAGTAACTCGTAATCTGATTACTTTTTTCAAGTAACGAGTAAAGTAAGGGATTACTATTGCAAAAACGGTAA